AACTCTGATTCTCAGGCGATCCCTATGACCACAAGGGGGCGACAAGTTCCCAATGAATGTTGTGATTTTGATCTTTTGAAGCAGAGGGAGCGTGGTGTCCGTGTAAGTTGTGTGAAAAAGGATCTTTGTTGGTATTAATAACAGTTGGGGATTAAAATCAATTGAAATACTAAATACTTTTAAAGATTTAGTAAATGGTAGCTGTTTCATCAATTTCAGCCCCAAGAAAATTGGTTCCATTCAAAATAAATAAACAAATAAATAATATATTTATATTTTACACACACACACACACACACACACACACACACACACACACACACACACACACACACACACACACACACACACACACACACATACACACACACACACACACACACACACACACATACACACACACACACACACACACACACACACACACATCTATATATATATATATATATATATATATATATATATATATATATATATATATATATACATACTTTAGGGCTTGAATTACAGTTTCATCTCTACGTTCTGTCATGGTAATGATGAATACTTTTTTTCACACCTGCCATTCATAAACATGTAATATTGCAGGCAACTACTGCTTTGTAGCTGCTAAAAATATTTGTTAACTTTTGATGATTTCTGGAAAAGTATTTTAACAGAATATTCTAAACTTATTTTCTTACAATCAAAACATTATTAATATTTTGTTATTTAAAAACTAGAGGGATCACACAGACTTTTTTGAGAAACAACTTTCATAATTATTATTATTGTTATTATTATTTTTTATTATCATTCTTCTTCTTCTTCTTCTTCTTCTTCTTCTTCTTCTTCTTCTTATTATTATTATTATATTGGTGTTTTTTTTTGGTTTCCATCATGAATCTGTGATCACTTCCCTGGATGTCCGACAGTGGATCTGTCAAACCCCAAAGAGCGTCAGAGGAGCGGAAGTGAGGGGCCCAGGGTACAGAGTCCTGGGGCCACCACTGCTGGCCAATGGGCAATCAGAAGGTGCAGGCTGTGTAACGGGGCTGTGTAAAGCTCTGGAAAAACTGCAGAGACAACCCGGAAATGGAAGCTTGTTGTTTCAAAATAAATGTTCAACCGTTATCGCAGGAAAATGTGAAGCTCTCGGACCACTTACTTCTGATTTAATGTTGACTGATATAATATAATATATATATATATAATATAATATATATTATATATTTATATATATATATATAATATATATAATATATATATATAATATATATATATTATATATATATATATATATATGCCTGTCCGCCTTGCATAGATAATAAGTACACAACGGAACAGACAGATTATACATGTAAAATACGTATCACAAAATAACTTTGTGTGTGTATTTGATAAAAGTCTAGAACTGTGGTTACAAATGGTCATTTGAAAGCAAAGCCATGACCAGGGCACTGTGGAGTGTACCATAGGGTAAACATAAGAGAACAGCACGTACAGGAACAACCACAGTAGAGCGGTAAGTTACAGATTCTTATTGACAGTACACACAGGTGCTGAGTGGAACAGGGTATCCACATTCCACACTAGAGTGATGTGAAAGTCCCATGCCTCAGGTGATGTGAAATATGAGGTTCAAGAGTGTTTAAAGTTACTAAATGATGACTTAATCTATTCTTCCAAATCTGATGTATTTTTTAAATGGATCAAAAAAATACTGGATGGTGTTTTTTTGGGGGGGGGGGGGGGTGAAAATATGACTGAAACGGCACTTAAGTTTCAACATTACAAACATGCTCTAGAGTTATGTAGATGTTCAGCAAGGGCTTTTCCTCTAAAACGGAGTGAATCTGTTTCTGTAATGGAGTTCTCTGTGGTTCTCTTGTTGGGCCTTCATATGCTGCCCGTGTGCATATTTGCAAAATAATATCTATATATGCAGATGACACTTTGTTTAAATACAATTCAAAACTGATGGAAGGCACAACAAATATGCCAAATTTAGTATATTCTAATGTATTGTACTTGGACTTAGATTATTCTGTATCTCTTGACAAGTCTTTGCAATTACCAAGTAATGCCCACTGGATCGTATTTTGGTCACTTATTTTATATGTTTGATTTTATTTGCACGTTGGTCGGCATGTGCCTCAGAATTAAACGAGTAGAATATTATTTAATCATGCTTTCTGTTCAAATGTAGATTCTATCCCATCCTCTTTTAATTATAGAGTGCTTTAAACACAAAGTGCTGAATAATGAAAGCAATTAAAATATATCTGAGATAAAACACATAGAAAAACATAAATAAAAGAAAACATTAAAGAAATGTGAGTGAATCACATCAAGCAAACGGTGTTAAAAGCCGATGAGAGAAGAAAACAAAGAAAACAAATGAGAAAAACAACAGTCTGGACCAACATATCAGTCTAAAATAAAAAAATTAAAAGTAGAGTACACTGATTTCTACTGTACAATAAGTTTTATTTATGTTGCACTTTCAGACAAAACAGGAGAGATGTGCAAAGTGCTTAACAGTAGCAAAATTTTAAAGCAACACCACATCAAACTATTAAAAGATCCTTATAAAAACAACAAGGAGCACAAAATTATATAGTTTTAGAAACCTAAATGTGAAATCACTTTAACAAGGAGGGCAGGAAAACAATATATTCAGGATGACGCAGATTCAAAAGCGTATTTAGTTGTTTTCCCATAAATGTTACACTTCTCACTGCACTTTTCCTCCTGAGTCCTTGTATTTTATTCTTTGGCACAAATGAAATCCCGTACGTGTCAGCTATTTATTTGTTCATTTTAAAGGTGCAGTATGTAAGAATATAGTGAGAATTGTAGTGAGAAAATCCTAAAAGTGTCTAATGTTTCAGTCATTTTGGAAGGAAGGTTATACTGAAACATTTTTCATATCCAGTTGGCTAAGGGTTTCACAACAAAGGAAGGCGAGCTTATACTGCTGCTCTAACTATTGTAATTGACGACGGCTGGCAAAAAGCTCCAGAGATGTTTAAAGTAGTTGCAGTAACCAAATTTTACCACAGGATTTGATTTTTCTTTTCATTTCAACACAATGCACCTTTAAATTGAATTGTTTAAAGGAGTGATTCACTCGTTTGATCAATAGATTTCCAGTGGTCTCTGGTAGGAATGAATGCCTTATAAGTTGTACTCTGTGCACCGGTTTCAGGAACTAGAAGTGAGCAACATCTTAGCTGAGCTTCAGACGGCAGGACTTCGAGTCTTATTTTCTGATATTTGGACATCTCGCCTCTGATTGGCTAACAGCAACATGATTCTACCACTAACACCGTTTGCTTTGCAACTTTTAATCTCCACAAATAGGTCAAGCCTAAAAGAGTTCTGTTGTGTTGTGGAATTGCTAATGCTAACTATTAGCTTCTACTAGCCGAGATGTTCTCTGCTGTTTCCTGGATGCTAAACAAACAACAACAGTCTTTTTTCATCACTGTTTTCCAGTGTTTCACAACGTTAAGCATTTTATTTTGTAAGTTTCCAGATTAAAAATAGGGAAGAATGATTCAGTTATTTATTTAGAAATTAAAGTGTTCATTTCCACTTGGAGTTAAAGTATTTTTCCTTATGATTAGCCACATTTGCGTTAATATTCCTAATGACTCTGACTGCTTCTGGCAGTTCTCTTTTCGAGTAATTAAATTTTATTTTGTTTCATTTTTCTTATATTTAATTAAATTTAATGTGCAAAAAAAAAACCCCCAAAAAAAAACAACCTCTATTTAGGTTTTATTTAGAAAAACTTCACCGGAAGCGCTCCCATCCTGCTTCCGTTTGACTTGACTGTCAGCGCTGGGAGAGCCGGAGGGCGGCAGTCAGTCAGTCAGACAGTGAAAGTGAAGGTTGGAGACCAGCCCAGTGCCGAAAACTCAACCTCTTCTGGATCACGTTCAACTCCAGTGAGCGACCCCCCTAAAAACCCAAATACTGAGGCTTGAAGAGGAACGACGACAAGAAAAAAAAGAGTGAAAATAAAAGCGCGAGGTGCTCCGAACTTCTTTTCACCGCTATTTGCCAAGAATTGTCTTCCGGTGTAGACTTTTTCCCTTTTATTTTTGGACTCGCGCCGCAAGAGAAAAGCGTCCAAAAAAGAGAAAATAGCACAAAGTTGAGCGTGAGAAATGTGAAGATACCGACTTGTGTGTTTCAGCCAGACTCCAGGATTCCTCATTAATCCATGCAGTACAGTGCGATGGTACGTGAACATGGATTACTCTTATTGTTATTATTATTATTGTTGGTTTCTGATGATGTCATGTGCTGTCCTTTTGCGCTGGAATGTGACGTCACAACCCAGAAACGACTCAAAAGTTTGTGCTGACATCCAGCTCATGTGGAGAGTGAAGTCTGTGTGCGTGTGGTGTGTGTGTGTGTGTGTGTGTGTGTGCGCGCGCGCGCTGCAGCATGTTGAACTTCCTGTCCTTTTGGTGCAAAACACAATAATCTCACATTTAATTTCTTCAGAACTTCATAGAAAAATGAAGCAATGTAATGTTTTATTGGAAAACAACATTTAAAACTAAAGGGATCGCTTTTAAAAGTGTTTCATTTGATTTTAAGTGTAATTCGGCTTATTCGGCTATAACTAATCATTCTATTGTTATTATTAATTCCTTAAATTATTCCCCTTTTCAATTGTATTAATTTCAATAATATAGTATTTTGCAGGAAATATGAATACAACTCAGGTTAAAGTTTATTTAATGTGTTTCACTGACATTAAATCAGTTATAAGGAGTGGAGTGAAGTCAGAGCTCATGTGGAAATGTGTGTGTGTTTTTAAAGCTTTGGTCCAAAGTCCCTGAAGCTCATAAACTAATTCAGCCGAAGAGAGAGGAGTAAATGAATTGTTTGCTGCGTTTTCATAAAAGCGTGAAGAAGAGGGTAGGTGCTGCGTGGGGAGGAGGAGGGGGAAGAGGAGGAGGAGGAGTGTGTAATTACGTGTATGGTGGAAGAAAAAAAGGAGAGAGGAAAAAGTTGAGTCTGATTTGCTGGAATCGCGCCTGGAAGGTGCAGCTCGGTTTGATCAGGAGTTTGTGTGAAGCTGAAGGGGTGAAGATCCATCCCTGCGCATCATCATCTTCCTCATCATCGCCATCATCATCATCATGATTACCGGCTTCCTAAGAAGAAGCTTCGCGTGAGGCGGCGCAGAGGAGAGACGTGCGCAGCTCCGAGACTCATCCGCAACTTTTCCTTCTTTTGCATAAAAACACAACCTCTCCGCGCTGAGGACAACCTTTGGATCATAAAAAAAATTCATGGATATTCTTGGATAATTTTTCCTTTCCTTTTTTTTCCACTGCGGATTGCTGCTCCACGCTCTCGCGCGGCACTCCAGGACGATGAAGTGATCCGAGGGGGATTCGTCCAAAAAGTCCAAAAATCACTTCCGTCCGCTGTCTCGCCATGTACTCCCCGATCTGTCTCACTCAGGTATTTGTGATTTTCATGCTGATCTGAGTTATTCGGAAAGGCAGGAGCGAGAGGAAAAAAAGCTGGACAGAAAGTTCTCTCTGCGCACCACGCTTCTACGTGGAAATCACCCAGAAATTGCGCGCGTTTCTCTTAAAAAATAACCCTAATCTGGATGATTTCACTTTTAACACACTTTCTGTAGCTGTGACGTGTTAAAAAGGGACAAACTCCGCTTACTTTTATTTCAAATTTAAACTTAAGTCCTTCATTTTGACGTTTGTTCTGTGCGTAAAGTTGTGCGTAAAGGTTAATTTTAGACTCTTAGCGTCTGGTAATAGACTTTTCCCCTGTCCTCTGGTGACATTTCACACGCTTCCAGCTCCTGTTTTAAAATTTTCCTCCAAACTTGCATTAATATTTAGGGGAAAAGCCTCTTCAGGGATCCGAGGGAACACGGAGATAACGCCACTTTCTCCGTTGGGAGATGGAAACGCGCGATAAGCACCGCTCGGACGGGCCTGCTGACTCAGTTTTACTGTTTATATTTTACTTGGCATAAGTCAGTGATTGACTCAGATGTGGTTTAGTTTGCGCTTAAGAGGATTGCGCTTTTCTGGCCGCACCGCGCAGGCCCTCTCCAACGTCACCGACTTTTATTATTATGTTATAATTCAAATTAGCGTAAAATAATTTAAAAATCTGAATGTTTTAGGTGTTTTCAGGATTATTTTAAAACACTTTAATTGGTAACTTTAGAATTAACTCAGATAATTAATTTATTACCTCCAAATGGTGAAAAAACAAACAAATCTGCAGAGTTTTATGAAGTTTCTGTGGTTATTTTATCTGTGGAGTGGAGCAGTTTCACGGAGCAGAGCTGTGGGTGAGTGTGGCAGCAGCAGCAGAGAAAGGGAGTGAATTTCTGTGGTTTCCCATCGCCTGCTCTGCCTGAGTGCCTTCAAAAGGAACAATGTGTGGTTTGACTCTCATGTGTGTGTGCATGTGTTTGTGTGTGCGTGCTAATTAAAAGTGACATTTTAATGAGTTAAAAGAAAGATAATTCAATGTTCCTCACCCATAGAGGAGCTTTCATTTGTCAGCAAAAAAGTTCTCACAGTCCTGCACATTCCTGCGGAGAGCGGAGGAATTATTGGGAAGTTTTGGGAGGATTATCCATGTGAGGAAAACCTGAAAGCATGTCAGATGTAAAAAAAAAAAATCTATTAAATTGTTAAGCTTGCAATTAAATTACAGTAAAAACAGTCATTGTAAAGCTGATGTCTTTTAGGAATTTATTATTATTTATTTTAAATGTTTAATTTGAATAAAAATTCATTTATCTCTTCAAAATAAAACCCTGAAATCTGGTTGAATTTAGTGTTTTTGTTGCAAATGTTGCACTTTTTTCCCTTTTTGATCAGTTTTCTGCTTGTGACTTGTTTGTGTTTTTGTACTTTTGAGCTCGTGTGCAAGTGTGTGTGTGTGTGTGTGTGTGTGTGCGTGTGCGTGTGTGCGCGCGCGTGCGAGACATTAGGTGGAATCTTCTTAACTTCCTATTTTGCGACTCCATCCTGTTCAGCCTCTCAGCTTATCCTCTCGATTATTAGATTGTGGGATAAGTTTTTAGTGGAATGTGTGTGTGTGTCTGAATAAATCTGGGACGTTGTAAGAAGGAACAAATGTTCAGATTTTTATTTATTGACCTGCTTTCTGCTCTTTTTAATAATTATGGAACCGACCTGCCCCAGAGCGATTAAACCCATGTGTGTGATGTTTTTCCTGCTCCAGGATGAATTTCATCCCTTCATCGAGGCGCTTCTCCCTCACGTCCGAGCCATCGCCTACACGTGGTTCAACCTCCAGGCCAGGAAGCGCAAGTACTTCAAGAAGCACGAGAAGCGAATGTCCAAGGACGAGGAGCGCGCCGTGAAGGACGAGCTTTTGGGCGAGAAGGCCGAGATCAAGCAGAAATGGGCGTCTAGGCTGTTGGCCAAGCTGCGTAAGGACATCCGGCAGGAGTACCGTGAGGACTTTGTCCTCAGCGTGACGGGGAAGAAGCCCCCGTGCTGCGTGCTGTCCAACCCGGACCAGAAGGGCAAGATCCGTCGGATCGACTGCTTGCGGCAGGCCGACAAAGTCTGGCGCCTGGACCTGGTGATGGTCATCCTCTTCAAAGGCATCCCTCTGGAAAGTACGGACGGCGAGCGCCTGGTCAAGTCCCCACACTGCACCAACCCAGCACTTTGTGTCCAGCCTCACCACATCACAGTATCCGTCAAGGAGCTGGACTTGTTCCTAGCGTACTATGTCCAGGACCAAGGTAGGTCTTGTCTACGTGTGTGTGTGTGTGTGTGTGTGTGTGTGTGTGTGTGTGTGTGTGTGTGTGTGTGAGAGAGAGAGAGAGAGAGAGAGCTACACATGTGTGAAGTATGTCTTGGCAAGGTCAGAGGTCACATGTGTTACTTTCTGGCAGCCCGGCTCAGACTGAGCGTGCCAGACAAATAAACATCAGAAACGTGAGCAGCAGAGCAGGATAAACACACGGCTCGTTACCAGACCCAAATAAATGTGTTTTTATTATGAAACTTTCTAACTTTGCCTTTTCCTCAATGTTCTCCTGCAGCGGCGGACACGTGTGTGTGTGTGTGTGTGTGTGTGTGTGTGTGTGTGTGTGTGTGTGTGTGTGTAGACAGAGCCATGCAGGCTCGTACCAACACACACCGTCTGTTAGACTAGAAAAGTGTAACAGAAACTAATGAAGGGGTTTAATTTTATGACGTTATGGATTCATTTCTAAATAATTCAGATTTTTTTTCCAGTTTATATTTTTAGAAAAATTTCAACAAGTACAAATTTTCCTCATATAAAAAAATCCCAAACAGCGGCCATGATTGTTAATCCCACTAAATTAGAATCATCCTAAATTACTTTTCCCACAGTGATTACTTACAATAGGATCTGTGTCTCTTCATGTCTGCGGTGAAGTGATTAATTTATTTATTATTCATTAAATGTTTTTAAAATTAAGTAAAATTAAAATCTAGAGATTATTTTTTACTATATTTAAATTTAATCATTTTTTCCTCCAACTAATGCATTGAATAAACTTCTCTAAGAATATAAAATTTTATATTTGAAATCTTTTACACAAGTATTTTCTCTGTTATTACTTGGTGATTTTTTTGTGGGAATCCACTCAGAGATAATTATCCTCATTTTTATAGCAGCAAAATCTCCTTTTTATACTTTTTCCATGATAAAAATATTATTCTTCACCATATTTGAAACTTAGTTTATAATTAACAAAATTCCACTTAATGAAAAAAGAAAATTCATAAAAACTTTTTGACGTTTGACCCTCCGGAACCTCCCGACAGCTCAGGAATTCCAGATGAAATCCCCTTGTTTTAAATGTGGCAGCCTCTGCCTCAGAGGGAGGAATAGCGCTCTAGCTAGGTCATTACCACCAAACCCTGAGCGCCATTTTGTGTTTGATAAGTGCCAGGGAAAGCAGAAGGCACGGCGCACAGACAATAATGGTTGCCACTGGCACCGGCGTTGGCATCAGACCCTCTTTTGTGTCTTTTGTCGGATGCCACCGCTTCTCTAGTTTGCATCTGCTGCATTTCTTTAACCGCTCGCTGCCAACTTGAAAAACGGCTCTTTAGTGATGTTTTTTTTATTCCTTTTCTTCGTTTTCCAACTACGCAGCATTCAGATGAAAATGAAAATGTGGCATTTGCATGGATATTGTTTTAGGAAAAGCTTTGTGCTGTGAAATGATCGCATTAGTAGCAAAGACAACGGGTCCGTTTGTAATCCCTCAGCTGTTTTCGTGGATTATATTCAGCCTTCCTGAAATTTCACTTGATGGAAACTTTCCCGAACACCAATAGGTGTTCCACTGCAATTGGAGGAGAAGGAGGTGTCTGTTCTCGTTTCTTTCAGCGGTGCCCAAACCCCGGAACAATGCAGCCATGTTGTGGTGGCGTGCAGCGTGCCGCCATTTTGTTTCTGCACAGTGCCAGGGAGGCAGGCAAGTCACCGGTGATGGTTGTTAGAGGTTCGGAGGTTGGCATCGAACCCCTCTTTGTCTGCTTGCAGCGTGCCTTTGATTCGTTGGTTGGCATCCGCATTGCGGTGGGCACATTGGAAATTTGCTGTTTTTTTTTTTCCGACGGTGGCAGAATGGAAGCCGCTGCCTTTGTTCAGCAGCAACAGCACGAAACAAACAAACACACCAACACAAAAGGAACCAGCAAATCAGCTGTGGGTGAAAGGGAGTCCACGGTTCAGAGCATCACTTGTGTTTTTAATTCACCGCTCTTACCTCACTGGGCATTTGTTAGCTCAATTTGTGCGTGGAGTGTATTTGTTTGTAATTCTCACGGGTTCCTGCCTGAGAAAGGTCGGCAGGTTGGCGGCGAGAGTCCCTGGGTGAATTTCGAGAGGGCACTCACAGAATTCACCCCCTTGTTCTGGGGCACAGACGCGTTTAGCCAGGCAGGACCGCAGCACCCATGTGCATGCCCAGATGAATGCCCGCTGGGAAGTAGGCTGAGGGGCTGGGAGCAGAGAGGGAGGGAAGGGGTGGGGGTTGTGGCACCCATTGTGCCAACTGGCAGTTCAACACAAGAGTCCTGGCTTCTCACACACACACACACACACACACACACACACACACACACATGCAGTACACTCTTTTACTGTTATCGGATCAAACTAAAAGAGCAAATCTCTTCCTTTTCTTACTTGAATCATCTCCTCTCCACACCTGCGTTCATGTTCTGCACATCCAGTTTGACAGCTTGGTGGAATCGTTGCAACAAGGCATGCAGATAGGAATCGTGTCAGGACGTGTGAGGGTTCTGTAAGCTTCGGTTTGTTTGCTTTCTCGTTGAGCCGCTTGTCACTGCTTGTGCGTCGTCTTCAGGGGTGTTGTGCGGAGAACCCGGGGGTGTTTGCCAGGACGTTTTTGCTCCGACAAACCACAGCATGGGTCAATAAAGTGTGAAACCTAAGGGTATGTCTCTGATCTTAGGTGTGTCCTTCAACAACGACGTTGGCGTAGACTGCTAAATGTAATTCTGCCACTTTTGAACGAAGAAGAAGACGTATAGCCGAGCTGATCCTTTGGGAGTCTGAAAAAGTCGGGGTCGTGTAGTTTTCCCCTTGCTCCGGTGCTGGAGCTTAACATGGTCATAAAACATGATTACCTTGACTCTGTAACTTTTTTTTCCCTTCACACCGTCGTGATAGTTTGAGGAAATGGATAGATTACCTCTGAAAACAAGCTGACATGTTAATGGAGACCTTGTTTTACAATCGCCAGAGTTAACCTCCACCCCCGGGGGTCGGGACCTTTGCAGCGGGATGTGGCAGGGTGTCCTCTGAAGTTTAATTGAGCAAAACAGATCGGTGAGGGCGAGCAGTCGCAGGCTCAGGGGCACGTGGAGGAGGAAGACTTTGTGTCTGGGGTGGTGTTGATGGTGGTGGCGGGGGCGGCTCATAAGCTCCCCTTGTTGACCCCTTCAATCAGGGTCAAACCGCAGCAGTCGGAGGATCACTTGTGGTCTCTTGGCAACTGTTTGTCTCCACCACCTCCACCCCCTCTGCCACAGCCTCCAGTTTCTGGTCTGGCTGGTGGTCCCTTGGTTCAGTGGCCTAAGTGAGGGGGAGTAATAGGCAGCACTGGCTGCCTCCCACATGCTCTCACCTCCCACCCCGCTCCAGTCCCTCAGGCCGGGTTGGGATCTTCATGACCGACCATCCTCTGCTTGCCACCCTGCGTGAGGTAGCTGTTTGCATCTTGTTTTCCGCCCGGCTGCCTCAGAGGCTGTGGTCAGACGCTCTGTGTGGAGGTCTGACCTTCTGGGTCACAGTGGAGGTCCGTGACTAAGCACTCCATCTAACCCTCCCTAGCTGCATCCCCTTATCCTCCTCTGCCATCAGAAATCACCCCCGCGGCGAGCTCGCTGCCCAGCCAAACGACTCTCTCACTCCTTCCTCCTCCAAGTTTTCCTTTTTTTTTTCACTCGAGCCCTGGGTCTGCGACCCGTGACAGCTGTCCCAGGACCAGGCGTTTGGCCAGAGGAACAGTGGCTGGGATCACGCCAGAAGAGTGAAACAAAACTTGTTGGAAGCAGAAAACATTAAAGCTTATGTCAAGTTGTTCGACTGGCTTTAAATCGTCGGCTCCTCCGGTGAAATTATTCTTAAAAAAAAAAAAAAAACTTGTTCTTTTGCGAGCTGAGAAGATTTTTATTCTTGGAGTTGAATTTTAATCGCAAAAAATTCAAGAAAAAAAGTGTAAAGCACGAATCCCAGGAAAAGCCGTATAGAAAAAGGTCTTCACGTTGAACCGCACAACCCCAAGCTGAGCTTCCTTTCTGTCTTTCTTATTAGTATGCAATAGAGCCTGCGGTGTCTAGCTACGTCTCTCTCAGAGCCATAACCTTATCGAACACATTCTCTCAATCTAATCCACTTAGAACTCCCTCCCAGCTTCACCGCTTGCCTTATTGATTTCCGCTTCCCACTAAATGCCTTTCCGATCCTTTTTCTCCAAACCTAGGAGCTATTTATGTTTTTGCAGTGCAGCCCTTTTTTCGTCCTCGGTTTCTGTTTCTAGTAATGTCTTTACGGATCTTTTGGGTGTTTTGTGATCTCCATCTGCCTTCCCTTCTGCTCTCGCTCAAACGCTGACCTGGGTGCAGAGCAGCCAGGTTGCCTGGCTCGGTATGCGGCTTGTGTCAGAGCAGCGGGGGCTTTGCTCGAGCAAATACCTCAAGGCTTAAACAGGCCGTGTTACCTCCTTAGCCCTCTTTTGTGTTCCCTGTGTACATAAATCTCCATGGAAACGAGGCAACTCGGAGCAGAGGCCACAGAGAAATGTGGATGCTTTCTTTTTTCGACTAAATTTACAACTCCCTCTTTTCGCTTCGCTACAGTGTGTTTAATTTGCTTGGGTCACAGTTTGCTCTGTTGCGTCCGTCCAAAAAAACAAAAAAAACAAAACAGAACAAAGCTTTTCTTTTGCATTGTAAGCCACGAGCGTTCTGTTGAAAAGACTTTTTTGTGTGTATTTCAGCAGGAGACGGAGTTTTGCGTTCATAGCTACTCATGTTGAAGGACGGCGGTTTGTGTCATTAGTCCATGGTTAAGATCTCAGCCTCCCCACACTTTCCCAGGCTTTTGGGGAGGACCCCAAATGCATTTCAAATCCCCCCGAGGCCACTTGACTGGAGGGCCGTCACCTCCCTCTACCCCCCAGATAAATTTCCCACCCCCCCACACACCCCGTCTGCCAGTCCGACCAAA